AGTTACGTTGTAACAAATTGACAAATTAAATGAACTTATGATTTCACACCATAATAAATGCTAACGCCAGGTCTACCTGATTTCCGCTCAAACCATCATTTCACAACAACAACACCACGACGATTATTTTACAATGCTCAGCATTTCCGCCACGTGTATTGCAAGCGGGCTGAATTCCTGGAATCTTCTAAACCAGAGCAGAGCCATAAGTTAGCACATAAGTTATAAATTAGCAAATTTTAGATTGTTTAAGTAATTCTTGTTTTGACTTCGTTAATAAAAGGTCGTAAGACCAGAAATAAAAAATATTTTTTTTATTTAATACGAATACAGAATTCGTTAACTTGTATAAATGTGCTTACATGCATACATCCCAATGTACTTCCATACATACATACATATATCCATATACCTCCATATATACATATGAATACTCAATATGTATACATGTAAATACTTGTAAATACATTGTAAATACATTGAAGAAGATATTGTGAAACACAAAGTAAACAAATTCCACTGGAACAAATAAACAAATTGCTGTGGAGCTAAACAATGCACTTGGGGTCCAAGCTACTGGTGTAAGAATTTATCAAATGCAATGGGTTGCCATGCTCAGCGTCATTGCATACAAAACTGTGTGGGAAAAACAAAATATTGAATGCTCCAAATCAGCTTCAAAGACCAAAGCGATATTCGTAATTTACAAAATGTTTTGAATGTGAAACACTTTGACTTACTCGTACGTGACCTTGGCAGTAGATATTAATATCAATAGCAAGCCAGTAGTAGTTTTTTTAATATAAAATTTACAATACATTAAGACTTTGATGGTTACACGCAAAAAGTAACTCTTGCAAGTATATCTAATGGCAAAATATAAAAAAAGCAATAATGCTGTAAAGACAAGTTAAATTATTTAAAATATAAAATACAAAGATGGTAAAAATATTGCTATCAATATTAAATTTCTGTTCAACTATCTTTACGTTAGTTACAGTATAACGAAAGGAAAAACCAAATCAACAATAATTAAGAATTACAATTAGCAAGCGCAGGTTATGAAATTTGGACATGTACACACAAAATACATATTGCCATTCAATTATCAAAAATTTATTTGTTTACTTTCTTAAGTGAAGTTTCACTCTCTGGAGACAGACATTTTCGGTGACTTGTTAATTTTGCTTGAAAATTACAAAATTTTTTACGATTTAATTTTACAATATAATTTAGTTTTGAATCGAGATCTCTCCCATAGTGCATAGTAATGTTTAATGCTAACATATCATTAAAACAAAAGAAAGAAAGAAGTGAAATCTAACGTGTGTAAGCATTTAAGCGATTTAACCATCTACAATCTAACATATGTGTTCCATATAAGTTGAATATTATGTAAAAAATTGATCAAATAGAATATTGACGCACCTGCGGTTCCGTTGCTGATACGTCAATTTCAGTGTTGGAATTGCCAAGGGATACTTGTGAGCGTCCTGCAAATCAGCTGTTGGCTTCTCGATTACATCATTATCTAAAGGCAACAAATTTGTAATAATTTGAGTAATGTGAGTAATTCGCTACATTTTCTACTTTACAATTTGCATTCTATTTTCCCGAATAACTTATATACCACTTATTTGCTGCTTTTCAAACGATTTATTGCTTCTAACCTCCGCCGTATTTTACACGCACTATTTTGCAAATAATTAATTGCAAAAAGTTAACCAAATCGCCACAATATTCCTCACTCTCAACACTAGGCGCCGACGTCTATGTCCAAATAATGGTTGGGAGTACGCCTCCTTCTACTGTATACGGCTTGATGGCTCAACCGTCAACTTTAGGCCTCACAATTTCTAGGGCCGCAAAAACGTAAACGAAAACAGTCAAGTACATAAAAACATAAAATAAAAATACTTAAAAATAAAAGGGTGCACTGAATTTAGCCACGTCCTTTTTATCTAAAGTTTTTATTTTTATACAAAATTAATAATTTGCTGGATCTGCGATAATATAAGCCTAGAAGTAGGTGTACAAATCTTAAAAACTAAATTACAAACATGAAAGCTCGAGTTATTTAACTCTGAGCCCTTTTCAAACTGCTGCGCTCTCTTAAGAGGGCTGCAGGCGGGAATTTCTCGATGGCTTGCATACAGCATTAGCTAGCGGATTAGGATGATTTCTTAGCTTTGTAAAGTGCTTCTTTCAGTTTCAGGCTTAACCAGTAAAATTATAAGGTCTTTAACGATGGTACGAACGTACCATGGAGCGCCCGTTTGTGCTCTTAAAATTTTGGACTGGGACCTCTGTATTTTATCAATATAAGTTGCACAGATCGTACCCCACAGTTGAATACCACACATACAAATTGGTTTTAATGCTGCGTTGTAAATAAGGACTTTGTAGTCTAATTTTAGACCGGAGTTTTTATTTAAACGCCAATTTAAACTAGCTGCTTTTAATTTCATTATTATTTAAATAACCGTTTCTCTTCGACAGCCTTTCAGGAACGAAGCAAAACCGAACCGTAAGCAGATCTTGGTGGTCTGCATCTTGTGAAGCCAAATTTTTCTTTAGTATAAACTGTACTGGCGTCCGCGATAACTGAGTGGTTAGCATTGCGTACTGCCATTCGGAAGGCTTGGGTTCAAATCCCCGTGCGACCAACATCCAAAAGATATAGAAAATTAATTTTAATAAAAAATTAAGCAAAATTTTCTAATTGCGGTCGCCCCTCGGCAGGGATTGGGGTTGACCGATTGTATTTCTGACATGAAATAGAGCTCTTCATAAGAAAATCATTAGTCGTTCGGAGGCGGCTTAGTAA